AGAAAGAAAGAAAGAAAGAAAGAAAGAAAGAAAGAAAGAAAGAAAGAAAGAAAGAACTCCTGCCTTTTGCCACAATGTGGATGGAACTGGAGAATGTTATACTAAATGAAATAAGCCAGTCAGTGAAAGACAAATACCATATGATCTCACCTGTAAGTGGAATCTATTCAACAAAATAAACTAACAAACAAAATAAACCACAGGCATGGAAACATGGAACAGACTGAAAGTGACCAGAGGGGATGGGGAAGGAGGACAACGGTGGAAAGAAGGAGAAGGGACTAAACATGGACATGGACAACAGTTTGGGAATTGACTGTGGAGGGGATCAGCGGTGGGGATGGTTGGAGGAAGGCAAAGAGGGAAAAACTGAGACAACTGTAATAGAATAAACATGATTTAAAAGTAAAAAATTTTAAAAAAGGATTCATCCTGGCTGGTGTGGTTCAGTGGATTGAGCACTGGTCTACAAACTGGAAGGTCGCAGGTTCAACTCCTGGTCAGTCAGTGCACGTACCTGGGTCATTGGCCAGGTCCCTGTTTGAGGTGCATGAGGAGGCAACTGATGAATGTTTCTCTCATTCTCTTTCTCCCTCACTTCCCCCTCACTAAAAATAAATAAATAGAGTCTTTAAAAAATAAAATAAAATAAAAACTTATCAAAATTGGTGAATTTTTGTGTTGCCATTTTAATATTGAAGATGGAAGAAAAGAAGAAACATTTTTGGCCTGTTATGCTTTATTATTTCAAGAAAGGTAAAAATACAACTGAAGTGAAAAAAATTATAAAATGTATGGAAAAGGTGCTGAGACTGACTGTATCAAAAGTGGTTTGCACAGTTTTGTGCTGGAGATTTCTCATTGGATGATACACCATGGTTGGGTAGACCAGTTGAAGTTGATAGCAATCCAACTGAGGCATTAACTGAGAACTATCAACATTATACCATGCAGGAGAGAGCTGACATACTCAAAAATATCCAAATCAATAAAGTTATTGGTGAAAATGAAAAATGTGTCTTTTATTTTACGGAAAATAAGTGTGGACTTTTTGGCCAATCCAATCATTCATGTTGCTTCCTTGCCCTTCATACTGAAATATTAAGAGGGCAGCTTCTGGTTCAGCCTGGGAGAATTTCTGGAGTCACTAATGTTTCTGCAAGCATCAAAGGAAAAGCCCATTCTCTAGAACAAAACACAATGTTTAAGGAGTCCTTGCAACCCTTTGCAGACTTTTATATATACAGCCTTCATGTTTCCAACAAAAAGAATCTTCAGTTTTAATCTAGGGAAGTTACTACATCTTTTGATTATTGTCCTTTCCTTCCTCTCCATCCCTTCATCTCCCTGTCATTCCTCCTCTTCTACCTCTAAGGATCCATACACACAAAATTCTGCCTTATATGTCCTTTCATCCTATACACCTCAACTCATGAAAATGGACATTGAGAGGAGGAGAATGCTAGTTCTTCAGATTCAACTAGATTTTGATTTTAAATTGATTTCCCTGGGACTTCTGCCACAATTACATATACCACCAGAGAAAATAACAGTAATAAGTTCCAATTTAATATTCTGATAAGATGTTTGGGTTTTAGAGAGAAAAATCCTATTCTATATTATACCTAATTGTTTTTTTTTTTAAAGAAATGCTAATTAGTCCATGCAGGAGGAATACTGCAAGGAAGTGTCATCCAGGTCCTAAATGAAGATCAACTCAACTCCTGAAATACGACGATTGCTAGCAGTAACACTTACAGCTGTAAACTGCTGCAAATATTCCAGTTCATGCTGAAGAATATCTATGGGGAGGGTAACTCACTGCATGTATTATTGATGGAGTTGGGCTGTAATGTAAGATTATAGTGAAAATAACTTGCAAAGTGAAATCAAATATAATATTCTGGCTTTCCACAAGAAAATCTCAACTACCAGTTATCTCCTCCTATTCTTGAAACATTCTGATTGGATTAGGATTTCAACCAAATGACTATTTTCAGACTCAATTAAATATTTAGACATTTTTCCTGGTAGTCAACTAAAATGAAAAAAATGTTCATGGCAGTAGTTCTGTAGTGATAGAAAGAAAGCCTTAGAGAACACAACCTAGCAGTGCAAATGACCAGACTTCAGAGTAAATTGCCAGTTCTTTTTTTTTTCTTTTCTTTGAGAGAGAGAGACAGACAGACAGACATCAATTTGTGGTTCCCTTATTTATGCATTTATTGGTTTCTTCTTGTATGTGTCCTCACCAAGGATCAAACCCACAACCTTGGCATATCAGGACACTGCTCTAGCTGACAAAGCTGGCTGACCAAGGCCATCAGTTCTTTAGAAACAACTGGAACTACCGATGTGAATTATTTTATAAATCAATGTAATTAGGAAGTTCCATATTGATCTTTTATAATGAAAGAAGTTAAATAGTACAAATCCCTAATGATTTCTAGATTCAAAGTATCAATTACTACAATCTCATTTCTTTCTTGCCCAAACAACCCAGATCTAGTGAAGGGTACGGCTTTGTTTTTAAAATTTAAGTTTCAATAATTTATAGGCTTCCAAAAATTAAGAAAAAAATCCCAATTTTGTTCTAACATTTACCTTTATGTTTAGAAAGGATTGGTATGAACCCATCAACCTTACTAGAGAAATAATTCAAAATTCATTTTTTACTAAAAATGGGTCAATAATGTCTTCCTTGGAAACAAAGCATAACAAACCATTGTAGAATTAAAAACAATTCTCAAGCTTTTTCATTGTAGGTTACAGAATCAATTCTTTTGGCTGTTTTTAGTGCCAAAATAGCATCAAAAAGCTTTCAGTTTCAGATGACCCTTTTGTGAGCCTTTCTATGTAATATGGATTATTTCTTGCCTAATCTAGAGATGTGAAATCCTAAAACCGTGGGGCAATGGTTTGATAATTGACTATTTAATAAACTAAAAGGATAGTTTATTCAAACAATTGGTTAAAATCACTATAAATTAAATGAAATTTCATTTGATACATCTGTTTTCAAAATGTAACTGTTCTTTTGTATGTGGTTGCACATAAGCCTAATAAAATGGATTGTTCTATTGTGTTACTTATTTGTCCAGGTCTAGTAAGGAGGTCAGAATATTGCTAGGTAAGAAGTCTCTTTCCAGAAGCCATGTTTTGATTTTGCATCTGGAAACAAAGTTGCTGGGAGAGGTAAGATCAATTTTGCTACAAGGGAAATCATTACCTAACCGAATCAAAGTTTAACAAAGAATTTCATACTTTGAATTGAAGGATGAGGGAGCATAGAAACAAGAAACTGGGCAGTGAGGTTGGTGGCTAACATAATCCAGAGAAGGATAATCAAGTGCAAGTTCAAATCTGGTGATTTGGAATCTCAGCTTTGAATGTGCAATGTATGTTCCATGTAATTTAGCTTAATTCAGGGCATTCTTGACCATTCATCTTCATGATGGAGGAGTTCTGCTTCAGAGTCAGAGCACTCCTGAAACCACTAGTGTTTCTACAGGCAATGGGAGAAAGGTCTACTCTCTGGAACAGCGGTTAGGCAGTCTCTGCTGCCCTTTCCTGGTATCTATGCACATAACCAAATACACCTTCATGTTTCCAATTCCAATGTTTTCATTGTTCTGAGAACAATCCTCATTTTTTAATCTAGGAAGGGACAATCAGAGCAAGACAATAAACACCACTGAGTTATGTAAAAGAGTTATTAAATATAAACCCAAAGGAGGGCTGAAGTTGGTTTGAGTGCCCAGCTATATGCTTTAGTATACTTCCATAGGCATGACTATGGCAAATTGCTGAAATTTGCTGAGGATCATATCATGTTTCACAAGATCATGCTTTTAAAAACTACCAGAATATCCAGCAACATCACTAGAATCTAAGACTTGCTCAAGGCCATTCCTTGAATTGGCAACCAGGCAATGAGCTAGGGGACACCTGACCACCTGCTCTCACTTGAATTGAAGTCCTGATTTTTCCACTGTATAAATTAGAAGTTCTTAGTAGAAATAGGGGGATATGGTAGGTTGATATCCTGACAGACCCTACTCAACTACCTCTTCTTTACTATGCAGACCACCTCTCACTAATGATAACTATGTATGTGGGCAGACTTGCTTTGAGAAATGTGAGTGAATGCTTGGAAAACAAAGATGCAACTGCAATATTAATAACCCATGCACTGTCCACTCACTTACACCTCATTCCTTCTCTGCAAAATTCTCACTGTACAATAGTCTTTGCTTATTTTTTAAGCTTAAATTTGACAGAACTGTTATAGATTTATTTCTTCTCCCCCACCAAAATAACAGACAATTGTGACTGGTCAGACTCACTTTGAGCTCTACTAGCCCAAGCCTCGGGCACTGTTGATATTTCATGCCATGGGAGCATGTAAGTGACTATTGGACTCAAGAGTTCTGAGGAGACTTCAAACATACTTTATGAGTGGTGCTAGGAGTTTCTTGGGGTCACTTTGAGAATCTGGGAATGGAAAATGGGTAGGGTATGAAGCCAGGAATTCTAGACTCCCTGCCCCATTTGGGGGCACTTTTTTTACTTCTTTTATGCTTTAGGACTTTTTATAAATTGTTTCCAGTACAAAGAATTCAAGTGATTTTCTATGGTTTGAAAATGGCTGGTGTTGTACACAGAGGTCCGTAAGGGGAATCAAACTTGGTTAAAAGGCTAAACCTGTTACTTAGTGTAACCGGAGGGAAAAATATTCAATATCTCTCCTCTCTAATACTAGTCTCCTCACTGCCTACCTCACAGGCACGCTGCTACGCTGAACACCACTATGAGCGTGAGAGGCACCAGGGCAGGGCCTGGGTTCTACAGCAGCTTCTGGCAGCCGGAAGTCCCACCTCCACGACCCTTCTCCTCCCCCTCGGCCTTCACCCGGAAGTGGACTTCACAGGCCGAGCCATCCACTCCGCTCTCCAGATCCTCAAACCGCAGACAGTGGCGTTGATTCCACCCACCAAGTTATGGATCCCCTGGGCCTAGCATCCCACCTTACTGGCCAAGAGTCTGGTGCCGTAGCCCTAAATTTTGACTCTCCCAGCCAAGACTATTTCTTCACTAGCCACGAGTTCGACTCTCTCTACCAAGAATTGGACTTGGACTCTGTTAACGAAAATCTTCTTCCTCAGTCCATGACAGGCGCCATGACAGGGACCTCTGAGTGCGCGTACGAACCACACCTGACCACCGAACCAGAGGATCTCACAGAGGCCGAAAAGAAAGAGCTCAAATCTGAGCTCACCAGATTGGAAGCTGAAATAGTAACCCTACGCCATACGCTGGCCGCCAAAGAAAGACGCTGTGTGGAGCTCAAGAGGAAGCTGGGCCTCACGGCCTTGGTGGGGCTGAAGCAGAATCTGTCCAAGAGCTGGCACGAAGTTCAGGTCTCCAACGCCTATATGAAACAGAAGACCTCAGCTGCCCTGTCTACCATGGGCTCTGCCATCTGCAGGAGGCTTGGAGACATGAAGAAGTCGGCCACCTTCAGATCCTTTGAAGGTCTGGTGGAGACAATCAAGTCCAGAGTTGCAGGTGGCAGAGACCTTGACAGTGACTGCCCTCCTTCTTCAGCGGGGTGTGGGGAAGATCCGCCCTTGGTTTCAGGGAACGGCGATGGTCCAGTTCCAGGGAGTGTAGATGATCTGGTAACGGTAACTGGGGATGACCCTCTTTCTTTTCTGGAGCAGGACTGAGCCCCTTAGAAACTCTGCCTGGTCACCTACTTAACCAGCGCAAGAGCTCCCTTCCCCCATTCCAGTTTGAACTCTGCCAATCGAAAATAAGCAACCTAACCACAGTGGTAAAGATAATTCAGGAAATGGACAGAGTCTAGTTTTGAGAAAAGTAATGCTCATTTTTACACAGATACCTGCTGCTGTTGAGATTTTAAAAAAAAAGTTCAATGTTTTGTACCCAACTATTTTACACTAAAGTTCATAGATGAAATGCATAAAGTTTATGTTGAAACATGACTAGCCTTCCTGGGGTTGCATGTAAATGGACAAAACAGTAGCTCTAGAGGGGTCTAAAGCCAAACTCTTTTTTTAGTAAACAAGTCTCATCAGAAGGCAGAGTAGATTTCTGCTTAAAATTGGGAAGAGACATAAAGTAAGCTCTAAATTTATTCCCTCCCCATCTTCCTTCCTTCACAAAAATCTCAGAAGACACCTTGAAAGCTTCAGCTTGTGTATGACTTTTATTTTAAAAAGATGATCAGGAAAGCACATTTTTTTTCTGAGACCCTCAGAAAGGGAAAAATATTAGTAGACTAATGGTTACATAATACTATAACTTCATAAAACTTGAGTTTTTTTTAAAGCTCCTAAATAAGCAAAAAAACTTTAGCTTCATTTTAGGAGATTGTTAATTACTTTGGATTCAAGCTGAAATTGCAACTTTATTTTGCCGTGTGCTTTTTATATGGCAAAATGAGGGTTTTAAAATTTAACCCTGTGGTAGCATGTCTCTGCCAACGCAGCATGCCACCTAAAAGAAAGTTGCTTCTCAGTTCTGCAGCAGTTCCCAGTTACCACCTCCAGCTGAGGGGCTGAAGGGAAAACAACATATCCAAATTCAAGAAAGATAAACCCCTCTCTTAAGCAACATTTAAAACAGAATGCCAATACCCTGTAATACTGTTGTGCCTTTCAATGGGCACAACTAACTCATTATACATCATTTGGTCATCTTCATGTCTGTCCTTGTTTATAGCTAACCCAACAGAAAGGAAACAGAATCCAGCCCTTAGGTTTGTTTGAACTTTCTCACATCTGATTTTTACAAGAGCTATGATGTTTTTTGGTTTTGTTTTCCTTTTCCATTTTCAAAATGCCAGGATCTGGCAGCTTCTTTCATTCCTCCAGTCACACTGCCTGAGGTAGCAGTTTGTTTCTTAATGGCTTTCAGCAGGGAGACTAGGACATTTATTTGCAGGTATATATTGATAACGTCTCACTGTCTAAAGGTAGTCCCTCCAGTTTAAGGAGATAATCCTGTTTTGTTGATTCTTGAATGCTGCCCCTATATTCCTTTGGTTTTTCTATATGCAAATCCAAATCCCACCGTAAATGCAAAAGCACTTGGTAAACCATAAAGTCACTGATGTATCCCAACCCTCCACAGATTCTGAAGACAAAGTTTGGCTTGAATAAAAACAAGAAGTTCAACTGTTTTGTGTTTGTTTTTTAATTTGTTGTGCTTATCAACCAAAATGATTTTCTGTGCTGAAGAACTAGAGACAAACTTGCAGCATGCATAAAGCCAAAATAGTTCAACAGGCAAAGGCCTTGACTCTGTACTGCAGAACACTTTGTGTTTGGGAAAAATCTCAGACTGACATCATGGGTCAAACCCAGAATATATTCTATTTTATTTAATAACTCAAACAAATTCAGTAACAGTTTCTCCCAATAAATTCTTAACTCACTGAGAGCAGTAAAGAACATATCTATTTTTTTCATGATTGTATTCTCATGTCTGGCTTAGGATAGGTATTTAATAAGTACTTGTTGAATTAATGAATCAATATCACATACTTCAGATATCAAGACTTTGATCCAAGAGATTATCAACAGCATGAACTGGTTGACAAGTTCCCCAAGCTTTTAAACAAAGCATTTACTTCTTTATTCAAAGACAATTTGAGACCCTACTATGTATCAGGCATTGTGTCAGGCATTGTGCCAGTCTCTGTAGAGACAGAAATTAATTAGACATGGTGCATGTACTCTAGAAACTGATTTTCAAATTGTTATAATTCACTTCTATAAATGCCAAAACAGGGGAAGTCTGTGAAGAAAAGTTGTTCATCTTTGCCTTGGTAGGCCCCCCAAAATTCATGGAAACAGAAAGTCTTAGAGGAATAGTAGGAATTTGCCGGACAGATAAAAGTAGAACATTCCAGACAATAGACAGAGGAACTAAGTTGTGAAGGAATATAATAGAATGCCATGTTTCAAGTAATATCTAAATAAACCATTGTGGTTAGAAAAGGGTGAGTGGAGAGAGATAAGGAAGGAGAAATAAGCAAGGTCACAAATAGTTTTACATGCTACATCAGACATTAGTATTAATCCTGTAGGAAATGGCGAGGAATTGAACATACTTAAATCAAATTTGTATTTTTGATAGATCACTCTGATCACCATAGAAATAGATTCAGACATATTGAAGAGGTAGAATCTCCAAGACTTAGCTAGGAAACAACTTCATGGGCAAGAGGGATGTATAGATTTGTGAGCTGACAAGGATATAGAATTGAAAAGACCTGATACTAACAATGCTGGAACTGCACATTCATTTTGTTTTGGCTCTTTTACTGGATTCCAGCATACCTGCATCAATAGCCACGGACAACAAATTAATGCCTCCATGAGCAGGTGGACTCTGAAGTAAACATTTCCTCCAGATCTAGTTTCTTTCACTTGCTTCTGCCTTTCCAATGTATTGCGTACTCTCATTCTGTAGCCTATCTACTTTCATACTTAGATCACCTCTGCTTATCTAGCCCTATTTGCATTTTGTAGCCTAACTTCAGTCTGTTTAACTTTAACTTGGTCACATCAGGATACAATTTCCAACAGTTCTTGGAATGTGTGAACCCCTCAAAGATGCTTCATACCCAGTCTGGCTCAACCCCTGGGTACCACTAGTTGGGAGGGATATTGGAACAAAATTCCATGAAGCTCCCAATTTCTTAGTCTTCCACCACCCAGATGAGTGAAGGAGCAGGGATAGAAGATAGAGACAAGCGTTGAAAGCTCTAATTCCCACAGATGACACTTCCCCAGACAGCTGACAAAGAAAGGAACAGAGGACCAAGCCCTTTTTTATTAGCATCATAACGTACTTCATCATGTTGCTATCATCACCCCCAGAGAAATTCACTAGCAACTTCCAGAGACTACCTTACTTCTAAACTCCAGATTTGAGAGAAACTAGATTATATACTGCTTGCATGGACTGAAAAGAGGTAAACAGTGGTCAGTGATCCAGAACCATAGCTCTTCTTATAGTGCGAAGCAATGTGCTTGATAGCACTATCCATGAAGGGGACAATGATACCATTTGTTGATACTGTTAGGGAATGAGGTCAGTTACATCTGTGCCATAGAAATTCAGTTCTTGCCCATAAACTCCAATGTAAGAAAAAAGGACAATTGTCACTCTATCAAAACTATGGGGCCTCAGTACAGCCATCATTTGAGACCATGTCCCACTCATACTGACCAGATCTATTGATGGGAGGCTCGGTGATGGCACAACTTCCAGTGCCTAGAGCCTTATTCACATAAGCCAAGTGACAAGTAAAAGAATGCCTTCCAGATTGTGCACCTTGGCTAGCCGGTATGAACACATTATCATGCCACTTGGTCATCTCCCAGAAATTACTAAGCAAGTCACTATGACAGTCAAAAATGTCTGTCAATTGAGAGTTCATCAGGTAGTTTAAAAGCTCATTCTCTGGTTATCTATACTACCACTCAAATAATTGAGAGGGGAAGTGTATTCTTCTGAAAGTCGAAGGTTTTGGCTACCTCAACCTGAGCCATGGCTACCTGGCCTCACACCCATGAGATCAACACTTATGCATCCAACATGCCACATCTCCAAGGAGACCTTCCTTTTCTCTCTCTCCTACTCCCGATAACTTGCAGCTAGTTGGAGAATAAATGGTTATCTAACTTAGAGGAACAATTTGTACACTTGGCTGAACCAAACTTTCTTTCTAGAACATAAGAACTAAGAGATAAAAAGAATCAGATGGGAACTGGCCTGTACAATCATATAGATGTAGGGATTTTTGTTGTTGTTGTTATTGTTGCTGTTTTTGGAACATATCCAAACAGAGAATATGATTCACCGAAAGGAGATCAGAGCAGACATGTAGAGTTGCTATGTGACCACCTAGACTAAACCCTTAGCCAGGACTGAGAGTAGGATATAATTTCAAAGGAGTGAATGTGAGCTGGGTTGTTGATACCAAAATTTAACCATGTGTAAATTCTCTCTGATACTCCTCAAGTCTCCATGCCATAAAAGAGAAGAATCACCTTGGTTTTTAAGGTGACAGAAATCACTTATTCCCACTAGTAAATTTATGGGTCAGAGGGGCAATCTGGGGAAACACTGGACAAACTAAGGAATCACTGGCGCCCTGGCCAGAGAAGAGAAGGAAACTCTATTCCTAAAATGTTGCTCTTTTTAATTGTGAAAGAATTTATTTGCTTACTCAACAAATAATTGAGTGCCTACTATGTCCCAGACACATTTTAAATGCTAAGGATTCAACAGTGAGCAAAATAGACAAATAATCCTTGTGTTCATGGAGCTTTATTTAAAATTAAATGATAATATAACAAACACCCATGCATCCACCATGCAACAAGACCTAGCATAGCTATTTACCAGAGACTATGAACACTTTATAAAAAGCCCTGGTGAAATTGATTCTTTCCTAATTATAATAGTTTGGCTTCACATCATACTTAGCTTCTCCGTCTTTTCACATTTTAACTTGGTAGCATGGCTTCAAATATCCTCATATTGACTTAGAAACTGTGTTGTAACCCAGGCTGCCATACTTCTGACCAACTGGCTACAAACCTTTGGCTGTTCTTACTACCCTTTCAGATTCCATAGTTCACTGGAATAACTCTCAGAACTCAGGAAAGCACTATATTTATTATAATTC